CTTTACTTAATTATTCAGTAACAGTTCATAATACATGTATGCACCTCATTATGTCAAATTAGAAGTAATCATTCATTCATCAAACTCTATAAGTTCTATACTGAAGCTCATAAAGCAGTGACGAGTGGGAAATGGTAGCAGTAAAATTCAGGTTGATATAATGTGATAGTCTTTGACCTTTAAAAGGTTTGAACACAATCACATACTTAGTACCACATAGTTTTCTTTATTTGTAGTAGTAGAAAGTGTTAGTCTTCACCGTTACAGGGCCAAATTGGCAAAATTAAATGAAAATTAAGGAATTTTTCAGGATGAACTGAGAAAAGGGTCCTTGTCTTTATTCTTACTCCTTGTACAAATACCTTGTATTCTGATAACTCAATATCATTTCTGTACAAAAAAAGTATTAAAGATGAGTTCATTTCTGTCCCAAATGTACCCTTTAGCCCCACTTGTGATAGAAAGTGAATATTTAAAACACTTCCCCTTACTTTATTTGGTTTACAGTTTACCGATACATGTACATCGGAGATCAGCAGCTGCTTATAAATTATCATAATATGTCAAATATCATGATTGCTAAATAATTGCAAATATAAATAATTTCGTACGTACGATATCAATATACACAGTTATGTATTTTTTTTTAAGGTATGACACAAAAGGTCTTCAAAAATTGTTTAACACATTTTGCCCATATCCATATATTAACAGGACCTATCATATAGCATAGAAAGTATCATGCTATGAAAGTTTTATTGCCAGTTTTATGTTTAAATATTTTCTTACAAATTTATTCCGTTGGCCCCAATACAGAAAATCGAAAACCAATAGCCTGGGTAAGGGTTGGTGATAGGTGTTTTTGTGTATAATTAAATAACCACTGTGACATGTAAAACGTAAAGTGTTGCCTGTTGAAATTAATTGGTTTTTTTTTACAATTAATGTGTACCAGCAAAGCAAAGATGGGGGGATGGAGTAAGCGCTCTCACAGGCACTCGTGCAGTGTACTTGGTGGTGTCGTCAACACTATTGGAGCAAGGACCAAAACGTTACTGTACATTGGAATATGGAACAATGCTGCTTCATGTGCTCAAACCCTGAAGACCTAACAACGTACCCACAAGTGTTTCCAGAACTGATATGAGTCGTCACAGGCCCTGGAAGCTGACATTGTTCTGGGCTGCTTCAGATATGCAGATCACAAGGATTACGGTTGTTTAGCATAATTGGAGAGAGATGGAGACTCATTATATTTTGCCAAATGCAGAACGCATTCCGGTATGGGGGCAAAAGGTCACTAAGAAAGAATGTTCAAACCATGCATGTGAATGCATAAGATCAAACTTGCAGAAACTAGTAGATGAAAACCCACAATTTAAAGATAAGGGTAAGCTGAAAAGGCTGTTCGGATGAGAATAACATGTTCCTTCAGGAGTGCCATCCGTATGAGGTCTAGATCTGCAGATAAACATTCAGGTGGCAAACTACTGGCACTTTATATCCGTAACAACTTTCGTCATGTGTATGGAGACCACACTAGTTGTAACAAAGATTTCTGCATGGCAAAGCAGTGAACAACATCCGAAGCTCCACACACTGTGTATGATAAAGATGATGACCATCAGGATGTTACGAGTGCACAGTCGTACTACTGGAATGAAGGAGCATCATTATTGGCACAAGAAGAGTCATGGAAAAGGCAGGTATAACAAAATTATGCTTTTACTGGATTCCAATATGCTAGATATTATATAAAAGCTACTAGACAGGTATGCATCAGACAGTAATCGCCTTTAAGGGAACAACACCACGAACCTGGCAGGAAATTTGATGAATGTCCGTTTGAAATTGAGTCCATTTAATAATGGAGTACTGTGCATGGTATAATGGTTCACTGTACATGGTAAAATATGTAACTGCCTCGTCAGATACCCTAATCCTAACTCGGCCAGTGCAGAGCAGATCGGGTATTAACATAGTTTATAGAGCCTAACCGAGATTAAATTGCTGACTATTGCTAGATTGCGTTATTTCTTTATAAAACAAGATTAATCCAAGAGGTAAATTTTAAGATACGTTAAATAATTTAGTGGACACGGGAAAGAAGGACATATTATTCTTTATATATTGTTATTTACTTTACGAAACTGTGCTTTTTTTTAGCTCTGCCTACAGCCCGGTCCAAGTGCGCTTTCAGTCATTATAGTATTATCACATTCTTATGAGTGTGTGTACATAGAGAATAATACATGCCTTTTTCCATATCACACCCAGTATCAACCCGAGACTGCAATATCAGCCCAAAGGCCGAAGGCCCGAGGGCTGATATTGGTCGAGGGTTGATACTGGGTGTGATATGGAAAAAGGTGTGTTTTATTCTGTTTATTATATACTTACTAAACTATCTTATGATTTATTTTTATTTTTGAAATATTGAAAAACTTTTTTTTTCTCCAAAAGGGGTGTGATATGGGTTTTGCGGGCTGATACGGGTTTTGGGGTGTGATACGGCGAAGGCTGATATGGGTTAGAGCAATTGTGTCGTATCGCATATACAAAAAACCCGTATTTATTAGTAAGTATGTAATAAATACAATTATCACTCTCCTTTACATCGTTTCTCTGTTTAGATATGTATTCATATTGTGTGTTGTATCTTATAAGTCGTAAGGCTTACAGAACAAACTAATTGAAATTGTTTATCGTGGAATATTTCTGCGCCACTTGAACCGTTTCAACCGGTATACGCGAATGCGACTATAATGTCTCCAAAAAACTAAATCGGGTCAAACTAAATTGGGTTCGCGACTCCCTCTGGGCCAACAGTAGAGCTTACTGCCTATAATATAAGTTCATATAACTTGTAAACATATAGCAAGGGAAAGTTAACAGACGGACAGACTGTTGAGTTGTTTCCTACTTAAAATATGTATATAATACTAATAGGTGGGGTTGTATCCAATTAAATAATTTTTCGTTTTGTCTTTGGCCGTGGAAGATTCCTACACTGTACACAATTTTGACTCTGCACGCAGTAGATGGTCGTTTCGGGAAAGGATGAGTTTTTATAGACAGATGTGTTACAGTTCGTTGTTTTAAAACGCATAGAGTTGTTGGTTTCCTGGTTTTCTATAATGCTTTTTACGACACAGTCTGCAAACCTTTTGGCTCTAATGTTCCGTTTCCCTCGGATTGGTGTTAAATCCTGGCAGTGCATGGCTGGCACCAGCTCCTCGACTAATTTATAGAAGAACACCAGTCTGTTCGGCTTCGGTCTCTATTGGAGTGTGGGCAGAACCAGGTCCTGGAGCATTTGGGCGACACACCCAGATTCCCGGGGGTGTAGTCTCTCGTGATGATTCGGCCTGGCGTTGGGCGCGCTCTATAGCCAGTCAATGTCTTACCGAGATAGGGGTCCCAGACCACAGAGCTATACTCTACCGTTTTTCATTTCAGAATATTTTATTTTACTGATCTTATGCACAAAAGGAATTGGTGTCGTTTCACCTAGCATACATTTTTTTCGGGGCGAAAATACGACACAACGAGAATTAAGATTTGTGAATTGTCGTTCTTTCGGGGCGAAAAGACGAAACAACGAAATGGCACATATCAGCCACCGTAGTTGGGTGTATGCTAGGTGAGATTTGGTGTCAGTTAGAGAACAATAGGATTTAATTACAGGTAAACTGGGCAAATTGGGCAACAGGCGTAACCTATTTAAGCCCTCTCCTTACAAAAAATAACAGTATATACACATCAAATAAAGGCACTTTTACATATATGTTTCTTTATGTATTAAAATAAGAGATTTTTTTGTAATTTGATTTTGATTGTACAATACATATTTCAATTATCGCATTTTTGTAAGAGATATTATTTGACAATACTATTTGAGAATCTAATAACAACGTCTGGTGTCTCTAATGTAATTCTGAACCGTCTCCACAATATTTCTATTCATATTTACGTCTTATGATTGAAAACCATAAATACAAGCTTGGGTATTGAGAGGAAAAGCACTACTCATCATTGACAGAGAGTTAAGTAATATTTGTCTTTGGTTAATATAAAGAGGACAGTGCAGGAAAAAGTGATCACGATCTTCGAAAGGGAAACAACATACATACAAGAGGGGCTATCAAAATAAATCTGAATTCAAATTACTTGCAGAATTTCTTAGCTGATATAATGTTATAATAACTTTTTTATCACCATATTTACAAACATTACTACATAGCGGTTGAACATCCGTATCGGGTGAACGTAAACAATCCTTTTTCAGAATTCCAAGAGATGTCATAGTGGGAAACATGCAGGCTGGGTTGTTCCATTCTGTCATAAGTTTTGTGAAAAAAACTAGAACTATCTAAATGTGTTCTTTGTAATGGAACATCAAATAGTCTATTGTGTCGAAAGTTGTAATGTTCAATGTTATTAAAAATAGCAGTATCGAGTCTCAAACATTAGACGGAAACTTGTTGTTAAAAAGAATAAAAATTGCAATATTTTAATGTAAATGATTTCCTGCAACAAAGCCAGTCCTTCTCTATAAATGTTATGGTTCGTACCCCGTGACGTCTGAAACCAGAAATAATGCGTGCTGCTTCAAGTTGGATTGATTCTAAGACGTTGCACTCTCTCTGGGAACAGTTGGCCCATATAATATCAGCATATTCTAGGAATGGACGAACAAATGAAATATATGTGATAATCATATCGTGCTATAGTATACATGTAACATGCAGGACAATTGTTGGCTGTAAGGCTAGGGAGCCCATTGGAAATTGACATTCCATGGCGGCAACTCAAGTTGGAAAATATCTTTCCAACGGTGTATTATTGCTAGTTTTGTTTACATACTGTTTTGTTTGTATGTGCTAATTTATATGAATCATGAGTAGGCCTAGTTACTACACATGTTTACGTCATAACTGCCGTTCGATACAACAACCGGATATTAACTTATGCACAGTACTAGTTTCTGCATAGTGACATGAAAACGAGGCTATAAACAACATGGCGTCCTAACGTGCACTTGCTGAAAGTTTAAATCGGAGAGGTAAACCGTAACTTGAATCAAACACAGCCAAATGCTAGTTTGGTCTTCTTATATTTTTATATCAATAACTTGTACATATTGACGTCAAAACCCTAGACCGTGACAATAGTTACAGACATGTTTTTAGTGAAACCATTGAATCTCAATCTGATCGCGATCGTCACTCTTGTGTTTTTGATACGATCTCTGTTTATTGACATTGTTTGAATTTCACTTCTTACTTTTCATCAGATTGCCTTTTACAATATGTATTTGTATATGTTTTCACCACAAATTATCTTTAGGCAGCTTCTGTCGTGACATTTATTTAAACAGATACACAATGCATATATATAGAAGTGTCGGTGTCAGATCATAGGAACTCCTTCCGATCTATAAATAATGATAGGTAAAAAATGTTTATGATATCGTATCGTATGATAATAACCAGTATCACATAACAACAACCAGGTTGTTGTCATAAGATACAATATCATATTCCTTTTACCAATTACAATCTTTTCATGAAACGAGCTCCTACGGTCAGATTGTGACTTAAGCTCTCAACTAAAGCATCTAGGGTGGGTGTTTTATCCCCGAGTTTTCTTTTGAAGACATACCTAGCATAAATTCTTCCATGATCGTTTTGCTCAGATTTAGTGGAGCTGGTTTTGAACATATTTATTTCAATACTTGTACATTTATTTCAATATTTGTTCATTTATTTCAATATTTGGCTATAGCACTGCATACAGGTATATATTAAAACAGGTTGGAAACTCTTCGTCTCTCCGAGATCATCTTCAGGTCTCCACAAACTCTGGTCTATAGAGATAAACAAGCCTTCGAGACCAACTCAGAGAAGATCGAGAGTTGATAGAGTTCCAAATCTATGAAACCGGTTTTGATTTTTAAAGTATCATCATAGTCGCCTCCCAGCTTTGTCCTGGAATGAGTTTTTCTTTAGCTCAAATGGTTTTATAAAGTGGTAGGCTTGGAAGCTGAGGTCACTGATTCTATTATTTCCAGATGGATCCATACTTTTGATTGCACTATAGCTGTTACGTGACCTTCCCTGAATCCCAGGGGTTGCAGAAGGTATAGAACAAATGTTTCAGAACAAATACTTCTTAAGAAAGCGTGGAGTTATGTGACTGACAGATTTGAATTAAATACAAAAAGAAGAATCACAGTTGCCTTCTTTAGCTTTGCCTGAATTTCCTTTTAGATTTAGCAAATTTAATACAGCAGCAAGCTGAGAATCTGGAGGTCCCTGGTTTGATCCACAAAGGATAAATACCTCACACTTCTATTGTCTTGTTACGTATGTAACATTATATATAATTTCTGATATACTTTTTCTGTCTGGATTTGGTCAGATTTAAAAGATTGATGTGTTAGGTTACAGCAGGTTAGAGAAGGTTACATCAGTTTAGAGAAGGTTACAGCAGGTTAGAGAAGGGCACATTCACAGGTGGTGCTAATTGAATTTCAGACACATTTTAACTCTGCATTGTCTTGAACTTACTAACATCAACACTTTTTTTAATTGCTTACCAGCTAAAGACCTACTCTGGATTTCCCATCTTTGAAGGTCGTTAATTTATATTTTGAACACTTTGGCAACTTAAAACATCTTTAACTGCGTTAATTTCATTATTTAAAAAGTCAAATAGCGCAATTAAGTTGACCTGGCCTAATTGTACTGCATAGTTATAAGAGAAAGCAAATAAGAATGCTCCTGAAGATTTGCAGGTTTACATGTTTGCCCTTTAAGACACTGCAGAAACAAAAATTGATAAACTGTTTTTATTAAATGATCCCACTATCATTGTCATACATATATTATTAACCGTTGAGGAAATTAACATATTACCCTTGATGGCAGAAATTGAAGTCATGCGTGTGTAAAAGATGAGCATTGATTAGGTTGCCTTACAAGCGTCAGCTGTAGGGAATTTCCCTTTAGCTCCATGGTAGAGCATCGGGCTGGAGAGCCAATGGTCGCGGGTTCGAGCCCCAGCAACGGCACTTTCTTTATCACTATTTCTCATCCTATTACAAACTGGTGCCATTGACCCTCCCCGTTCAAGGTAGGAGAACCCTTTGGTGGGGAGTCAAATAACCTGGGTTGGCGATTGAAAAAGGGGGGAATAGTGTAAAAGATGAGCATTGATTAGGTTGCCTTACAAGCGTCAGCTGTAGGGAATTTCCCTTTAGCTCCGCGGTAGAGCATCGGGCTGGAGAGTCAATGATCGCGGGTTCGAGCCCCAGCAACGGCACTTTCTTTATCACTATTTCTCGTCCTATTACACATGCATACAAACACATCAGGCTTTCAATATTCTTATTTACATCTGTTGAGTGTTTTGTATAACATTTCCTGATTTTTAGTCCGTCTGTTATGCAAAACTGCATCCTCTATAGCGACCACTAAACCTATATATATATCTACACAAACCTGTCTATTAATGTTATTGGTACACATTCTAAAGGATTTTCACAAAGAATTAAACTTGTAGTACAAGTTGTACCATGTATGATATTTTAACAATTACGCCTTGTAGTACAAGTTGTACATGTAATATGTCACAGGTTCTGTCTCCATTGTAAGTCATCCAATGTACTATTTGCAATGCACTACAGGGGAGTACAATTTCATATTTTGTTTTTACTGTGTGTTCTGTCCCACAGGCATATTTTGAAAAAAAAAATCAACAAGCTTAAACTTTATTTCCATAGTAATTGACTATAATTATCAAAAATATGGTCACTCGCCCTGACATAAAATCTACTAGCCCCAGGTGTCAGGCTTAATTAGTTAGTGGGATTTAACATCCCCCACAATGGCTGTAGTATTGACAAATGTGATACATTTTGAATTGTTATAATATTGAATCTGAACAACATTTGAAACAATATACTGATGATTGTATTTTTTATGTGGAAATGTTTGCAGGCAGGATGGCGCGGAGTATTGCATGGCGACGGACATGTAACGATCTAGTCAATTGGCGCCAAACCGAGGCTCTTAATGCCACCATGTACATCCTGCGAGAGACTGGCCCCACAGGCTTCCTGCTACAGGAAGAGGGCGAGCCCAAACCTTTCAAGGTATTATCATAACACATGATCCGTTCTAGAAAGAATGTGATCCTTACACTACAAAAGCTGTAAATAATACACCTTATCTTAGAATGTACAAACAGTATTGGATTAGTGGTAAAAAAAATGTTGGTCTCAAATTGGGTTGTTTCAGTCCTGCAACGTATATGTTTGTTATAACATCATATTAGCTTTAGAAATAATTTAATTCAGACATTATTACATAGTCTGATGTTAGAAATACAGTCATAATTATATACTGATGTTAGAAATAAAGACATTATGATTTTTCATATCATTCTAACAATAGAAATGATACAGACATTATCCTATTGTACTAACAAAATAAATAATCTTCATTGGGCATTTAATTATGTTGCAATTTGTTTTACTGCAAATATAGCAAAATTAAATACTTGGTGAACAAACTAAGTTGTTCAAGGTAGTATTATTTCCAGTTAATCAATTAGCTGTACAGACTTTCAGAGTGATTTGATTTCACTGTAGAAAGTAAGTTTCAAACACATTAACTATACAGATTATACTCGGTAAATTAGCGGAACAGATTATCTCTGTGAACTAGATTTACAGACTATTGCAGTGATAAAAGCTACAATACATACTAAAGGTATTGTGGAAAAACATTAGTTTTAACATGGACACAATATTAAAATATTCTGATCATACTTCAACCACCTTAGAAGACTGAGACAAATCAAACAAAAATTGTATACAAAGTATTCTGCTTAATTACATCTACATGTTTTACATTTTACTTGTCATACTTTACATTGACGTGTATGATAGCTCTTTCTTAGTACCCCTATGCCATTGATGTGCATTTAATTTGCTTTTATAATGCTATAGATATGTGACTTATTTTAAACACAGGCTTACCTGGGTGACCCACATACATGTACCTGCCCTCAGTTCAAGAAGGACAGAGACCTCTGTAAGCACATCTGCTGGCTACTGCTGAAGAAGTTCAGGGTGCCACAAAATGATGCCAGTAAGTTAAACAGCTTTTGGTGTGTTTGGTGTGGGTCTGTTGTAAATGCTGTACAGATGTTAATGTTTAATCTTATTTATAATTATACAGCAAAAATGTCATTTCTAACAGCAGAGGGGATTGAGGATACCACAGAGTTAATTCATAAAGAACATACATGTACTCAGGTTATTGAAATATAGCACAGTGTCAAATAAAAAATATACAGTCATGTACCATAGAGTCAACTCATATAAATTATACACTTACCACAGTCAAGTCAAAAATAATTCATGTACATGTACCACAGGGTCAACTCATATAAATTATACACTTATAGAGTTAAATCAACTTTAAAAAAAAATGATGTCTAACTTTTATCATCTTTGATTGTGAAAAATATATTTTGGATGTTTGCTTTTGTGATCTCCCATTATGTTTGTGGTGCATTTGTCTTAATTAGTAATTCACACTTAGAGAATAATTTGTCATTTGCACATTGTTTAGTAACATGGCAGCTTGGTCTGGTGGAACGAGAGATCAATGGCATTCTTCATGGCTATGCTGCAAAGCAGCAACGACAGCAACCCCAGGGGCCACGGTGGCAGAGGAGTAAGCCGGGCGGCAGCAGTGGTAAGGAAGGTGGCAGGGAAGCTCTACAGCAGCGACCAATTGGAGACGATGACGTGTGTCCTATTTGCCAGGATGAACTCCTGTCTAAACACCTTCCGGTAACATTCTGCAAGTAAGTTGAACTTATTAAATTACTAAGTATGGAGGTCTGATAATTACCATATTTTACCGCAAATAAGCCCTCCCCTCCTCCAGGGTTCAAATTTAAGCTCAAATACTCGCGAAAAGCGAGTGCAAATTGCAAACTGCGAGTAGAGATTTCAGACACCAGCATTTTTTTGCAAGTGAAAATTTTGGGCTGAATAATCCTCATTTCTAATGGTCGGTCTTTACAAATCCTTTCTTTGACAACTCGCGGTCATTTAAGCGCATTCTTGTCATTCGCCGAATGAATGATTCAGCTTTTGTCATTAACGGAAGTTTACAATCGATACATGTCCCGTGCGCATGTCCGTTAGGAAGTACCTGCACAAATAATGATGACGTTTACCGCATGCATGATGTTTTTCGGTAATCTATTTTTAGTTACTATTTATAGCGCAAATACGATAGGCTTGACTAGTCACGTGGTTGTATTGGGGTTTCCCAAGGTTAAATTTCACAGCTCGCTGCACCGGCAAAATAACAAATGGACAAGTTGCTGATGTTGCCCTTAGAGAGTATGACCCAAAACCTGCTGTGACAAGATGGTGGTTGTCGGGACAAAGACAGAAAAGACCAAATACTCTACCATATGGAGCAAGAAACTAAGATGCAGTTTCTATGCTATATCTTAGAATAGCCTGAGCAGGCCAGCATCCTTTCACAGCAAGGTTTGCGTCATGTATACATCCCAATGACCATAATTTAAAATGTCAGTTAATACTGTGTTGTTTTAGAATTTAATTCTAAGTTAACATGTCTAATAAAGTTGGAAAAATGCAAATTGCAAGTTGTTTTCTCATTTAGCAAGTAAGAAAAAATACCACTTGCGAAAAATGCAAGTAGAAAATCTGGTTAAATTCGAACCATGCTCCTCCTGAGAAAAAGGGAGGGGGCTTAAATGCGAACAACCCCCCCTGTTCACAAATGTCTGCCAAAAAAAAGTATGTTTTTTATTTAGCATTTCCATGTGAGATATTTGACATTTATTATTGTTCACCAATGATGTACAGTCTTTTATCTGTATTTTATTGCTGTAATGTCAGTGGATGTCTATGACTTACTGGGATATTGATATCAGTGGATGTCTATGACTTACTGTGATATTGATGTCAGTGGATGTCTATGACTTACTGGGTTATTGATGTTAGTGGATGTGTATGACTTACTGGGATATTGATGTCAGTGGATGTTTATGACTTACTGGGAAATTGATGTCAGTGGATGTCTATGACTTACTGGGATATTGATGTCAGTGAATGTCTATGACTTACTGGGTTATTGATGTTAGTGGATGTCTATGACTTACTGGGATATTGATGTCAGTGGATGTCTATGACCTACTGGGATATTGATGTCAGTGGATGTCTATGACTTACTGTGGTATTGATGTCAGTGGATGTCTATGACTTACTGTAATGATGTCTATGACCTACTGGGATATTGATGTAAGTGGATGTTTATGCCTTACTGGGATATTGATTTCAGTGGATGTCTATGACATACTGTTACTGGGATATTGATGTCAGGGGATGTCTATGACTTACTTGGATATTGATGTCAGTGTATGTCTATGACTTACTGAGGTATTGATGTCAGTGGATATCTATGACTTACTGGGATATTGATGTCAGTGGATGTCTATGACTTACTAGGATATTGATGTCGGTGGATGTCTATGACTTACTGTGATATTGATGACAGTGGATGTCTATGACTTACTGTGATATTGATGTCGGTGGATGTCTATGACTTACTGGGATATTGATGTCAGTGGATGTCTATGACTTACTGGGATATTGATGTCAGTGGATGTCTATGACTTACTGGGATATTGATGTCAGTGGATGTCTATGACTTACTGGGATATTGATGTCAGTGGATGTCTATGACTTACTGGGATATTGATGTCAGTGGATGTCTATGACTTACTGGGATATTGATGTCAGTGGATGTCTATGACTTACTGGGATATTGATGTCAGTGGATGTCTATGACTTACTGGGATATTGATGTCAGTGGATGTCTATGACTTACTGGGATATTGATGTCAGTGGATGTCTATGACTTACTGGGATATTGATGTCAGTGGATGTCTATGACTTACTGGGATATTGATGTCAGTGGATGTCTATGACTTACTGGGATATTGATGTCAGTGGATGTCTATGACTTACTGGGATATTGATGTCAGTGGATGTCTATGACTTACTGGGATATTGATGTCAGTGGATGTCTATGACTTACTGGGATATTGATGTCAGTGGATGTCTATGACTTACTGGGATATTGATGTCAGTGGATGTCTATGACTTACTGGGATATTGATGTCAGTGGATGTCTATGACTTACTGGGATATTGATGTCAGTGGATGTCTATGACTTACTGGGATATTGATGTCAGTGGATGTCTATGACTTACTGGGATATTGATGTCAGTGGATGTCTATGACTTACTGGGATATTGATGTCAGTGGATGTCTATGACTTACTGGGATATTGATGTCAGTGGATGTCTATGACTTACTGGGATATTGATGTCAGTGGATGTCTATGACTTACTGGGATATTGATGTCAGTGGATGTCTATGACTTACTGGGATATTGATGTCAGTGGATGTCTATGACTTACTGGGATATTGATGTCAGTGGATGTCTATGACTTACTGGGATATTGATGTCAGTGGATGTCTATGACTTACTGGGATATTGATGTCAGTGGATGTCTATGACTTACTGGGATATTGATGTCAGTGGATGTCTATGACTTACTGGGATATTGATGTCAGTGGATGTCTATGACTTACTGGGATATTGATGTCAGTGGATGTCTATGACTTACTGGGATATTGATGTCAGTGGATGTCTATGACTTACTGGGATATTGATGTCAGTGGATGTCTATGACTTACTGGGATATTGATGTCAGTGGATGTCTATGACTTACTGGGATATTGATGTCAGTGGATGTCTATGACTTACTGGGATATTGATGTCAGTGGATGTCTATGACTTACTGGGATATTGATGTCAGTGGATGTCTATGACTTACTGGGATATTGATGTCAGTGGATGTCTATGACTTACTGGGATATTGATGTCAGTGGATGTCTATGACTTACTGGGATATTGATGTCAGTGGATGTCTATGACTTACTGGGATATTGATGTCAGTGGATGTCTATGACTTACTGGGATATTGATGTCAGTGGATGTCTATGACTTACTGGGATATTGATGTCAGTGGATGTCTATGACTTACTGGGATATTGATGTCAGTGGATGTCTATGACTTACTGGGATATTGATGTCAGTGGATGTCTATGACTTACTGGGATATTGATGTCAGTGGATGTCTATGACTTACTGGGATATTGATGTCAGTGGATGTCTATGACTTACTGGGATATTGATGTCAGTGGATGTCTATGACTTACTGGGATATTGATGTCAGTGGATGTCTATGACTTACTGGGATATTGATGTCAGTGGATGTCTATGACTTACTGGGATATTGATGTCAATTAAGGATGTCTATGACTTACTGGGATATTGATGTCAATTAAGGATGTCTATGACTTACTGGGATGCCTGACAATAACAATTAATATTACCATCCTGTTTACATGAGGAATCTCTAATAGCAAATATATATTTATCAGTACACTGCTGAAGCAAATAGTCCTTTTCTTTTTTTAAATATATAATTACACAATTGTATGGAAAATAATTTCCATACATTAACTCTTTCACCCCTAGGTAACTTTAGTGGACTCTACCATGCATTTATTGGGATGAGTCCATTATGGTCTACAGTGGTGAAAGGGTTAAGAACTTCATGTATAATGTAATGTGTATTGACTTAAATATATAAGCATCTGGGCCAGTATATTCATGAAAGAATTCTCGTGCTCAAGCATGGATTCTGTGCTCAAGTCGAATTTCTTGTTCCTGCTATAAAATAATCAGAACACCTTATTTTGTCAATGATTTGGGAAAACATTAAAGAGACTTAATGCGGAAAATTGTTTTCAATGTTTTATTTGACTTTTTTTTATTATTGTTTTACATGATTTAAAAGCGAGTAACAAGAAAGTTGGTATGAGCACAGAATTCATGCTTGAGCACAAGAATGGTTTCATGAATACGGGCCCTGAACTTGATATTATATTTATGTTATGTAATTTTAAACTCCTTGTGCACAGATTTGGATGTGGGAACAGTATCCATATCAAATGTATGAAGATATGGGCCGATCATCAGAAATCTTCTGGCGATACCATCATCAAATGTCCATTTTGCCGTGAGGATTTCGGACCCTTAGAGCTGCTCAAACAGGAAAGTCGGAATGCCATCGGAGCTTCCCAGGGGGGCAGAATGGACAGGCATCTTGGAACAGATTGTCAGAGTTGTCATATATCCCCTATTGAAGGGAAATGTTACAGGTGAATATGTCTGTTTTCTTGCATTTCCTTTTTTTCTGGTGTATTGTTTTGTAAAAAAGAGCTAAGTGTTACCCTGAAACAATATAACAGGACAAAATGTCAGAAATTTGTCCTTTAGATCTGGGCCAACATCACCATTCATTGCTTTTTTCATGCGGTTTAATGTGTATCAGAAAGTTGATGTATGCATCTGAAACAGCTCTATAAAAATTATACTGACTTTGAATTGTCAACCCCAATACAGGGGCGAAGACAGAAAACGTGCTTGTGACTAACAGTCACTGTATTAGTAAGATAGATAAGTCTGTAGTAGGTATATTATATATATATACACATGTTCATTACAGGTGTCGTGTTTGTGTCAACTTTCATCTGTGTCAGACCTGCTTCAACACCGCTACTCACACCCAACACCCTTTTGAGTATCGCCATGTGAGTGTTATTCCTGTCATTTGGGTCAAGTGAATCTCTTTCTTTGCTTGTGTTCTAATAAATTAGCTGCTATTTTTTTTTATTAATATGTGGATATTATGTAAAGATAATTGTTCGCATAATGCTTGAATGCAAATTAACATGAAATATAAATAATAGTGAAATAAAAATAATCAAGTGTGTACATATTTTCAATCACCCTACTTTTAATCTCTAAGCATTTTCTAGCTTGTTTAATGAATTATTTGTTTGTATTCATAGAAGCGTAACCAGCATTGGAAATCAGCACAGAGAATGTATGGAGCTGTCCTTCCTCAGGCTGTAGCTGAGAGTCTAGCAAACCGTGAAATCTCAGAAAATGACTATGACCTTCTCATGCAACTTGACAGGTAGGTGATATGGTCACAGGAAGCTGAGCTGGTTAGTCTGGACACTGAGTCTGGAGACATAAGTTTATGTGTACACTGTAGAACCTGGTTAGTCTGGACACTGAAGCTTGTGTGTACAATGGAATCATGTAAGTCTGGAGTCATAGGTTTACGTGTACACTGTAGTTACATATTAACTCCCATACACAACTTCTGCTTCCTGGCACAACCCAAATCAATTTTTACTTTCAGTTAAGCACATTTTGGAAAAATTAAGCCTCAATTACACTTGATAGTTTTAATGCTAATAACTTTCTTGTTTTAAATCCCATGGATGTCAATATGACCATTTCCATACCCCAACTAATTACATATACCAGAGACCCATATCAGCCCTAAACCATCTAACCCCACACTCTGGCTCATATGGAGGTCTATACTCAAAATGAACTGTGCTGCATTTAGTAGATTTATGGAGTCCTATTTCAGTACAACTACAAATATTTTAGTTTTGTGCAAAGTGTAATTTTGTTATTTAATCATTACACAGAATTATTTTCTATGTACTGAGAAACCTTGTTAATTGATACAGTTAAATTTTAGTGTACAGAGAAGCTATATTGTTATCTTAAGTTTATATTCATGTTATTTTAAAAGATCTATATTTTGTTATGCAGTAACACAACAACCCAACAGAGTGATATTCCTGAGAGTGTGGTGAACTCATTCCCCCTAGAGAAAATACGAGAGAACGGCCCACTTCTCGCTCCAGGGATGCAGTGTAGGGTGTGTCTCCGTGGATTCCAGGTTGGACAATTTGTCAGGAAGCTGCCTCTATGTAAACACAAGGTAAGTATCTTAGTGACTTACATTATGTTTCTTGTATTTTCTTGCCTAATGATAAATGCATTCTGTGGACTAACTTAAGCTTAAAAGTTAATATATCATTAAAATATAATGCCATAAATCCTTATAAGGATTGTATTTCCTTCAGTTCCATCGAGACTGTATAGATAATTGGCTACTTCACTCTCACTCAACGTGTCCTGTGGATGGCCAAAATGTCTGGGACCCGATCTCTGCCCAGAGTGAAGCTACAGAACAACCGACCAGGTACGTTTATACTCTGTTAATTAAGTGGTGCTTGAATTTGACAATTTATCGGTAGGGGATATTAATTAATAAACCATATTATTTTTAAAAATGGCATTCACTTTACATGAGTTTAAGGTATTCAGCTGCTGTTATGAATTCCATGACTTTCAACTAAATTTTAGTTCATATTTGGGTCGCTATCTTACCAAAGTTTTATGTCATGTATAAACTATTTCTCATGTAAAATTTCCTTGTCAACATTACCTTATACAACTGTTTATAGAGCACATAGACAGACCAAACAAAATGGTCAACCACCTAAAAAGGATTTAGTGTTGGAGGTGCCTGGTGTTGGAATTGTTAGACAGACCGAGGCTCCTGCCAGCCGCGAGAGTGCTCTCCGTGGGTTTGGACGACGTCTTCCTGGTACACAACCCCAGACAAAACCAGGAAGAGGGTCTGGCTCCAACAGCAAAAAAGTGACCCCTCTCCGTTCCAGTTTCACTCTCAGTGGTGTCAGCTTTGGTAACAGGTACAAACAAAAAGATATTTGGAGGAAATGTTGAAGGGGTGGTCACATCAAATGAAAAGAGACATGAAAAATATAGAAAATTGTCTTTGAACTTAATAGTAAATCTTTAAATGTATTCATTCTCTGTTATCTAGATTTTATTTGCTGTTACATGACTCACACAATGTAAAGCTTTAATCATATATCTTCAATAAGATTCATCAGTTTGGAAATATGTAATATCAAAGTTTTACTTTATACACAAACAATGTTTCTAATGAAACGTTTTGCGACGTTTTAAGACCGACTGGTCCCTTTGTCAAGCTAACATCCCTTTGTAGCTTGACAAAGGGACCAGTCGAACTTGAAAATGTTGCAGCACGTTTGATATGTATATTGTTTGTGTATAAAGTGAAACTTTGATATTAGCTTTGATCAAATTACTTCTTGATAAAACCCTTGATACAACAGTGTTTAATAGCAATTCTAAAAACTTTACAGTTTTGAGGGGGCCTTGGGTGGCAGTCACAGTGAAACCACTCCTGCTGAAGATCTTCCAGGCAATCGCCTCCTCGGGCGTGCTCAGGCAAGCCGGTCAACCCTCAACAAAAAGCTTGCAAGTAGAGGTCAAAGGCCAAAGCAGAGAGAAACCAGGCCAGCACCGGAAAACATTGGTCCTCAATTTGACATTCACTCAATGGCAGTTGTACCACAAGAGCAATATGTTGATGATGTCATGGGTCACATGACCCCAACTCAGCGGACAATTATGAATCACCTTGCCATGCTGAATACTCCGGATGAAGATGAGATCATGGGGGACCTCAATCGGAGCCTTCCATCCACGCCTCAGCGCGTTCACAGCATTCGTAACTCTATGCTAAGCAGTACGGACATGAGATCACCCTTTGTGAGGGATTTACCTCCCCTTATAGAATCCGATCAGGAACATGAGAATCCAGACCATCCAACCATTGGAGAGTCCGATCAAGAGACAGATTCCCTCAACAGTTCTATCAGTCTGAATCATCACAGACTGTTCCAGAGACATCAAAACAGACAGCCTGAGACTGAAGCACAGGCAGACTCTGGCTCTGTTGTCATGACCTCTGTGAGGTCAACGCCAGATGTAAGATCAGCCGCAGGGTCACAGAGGTCGTTTACAAATGGTGCTGTGTCCCCTACTGGTGAAAGTGCTGGAGGAAGTGAGGTCGCTGGAGGTCAGACAGGCACCAGAAGTCGGGGCAGACAAGCAGGTAGGGACAATGACTATAAACACAACTGTCAGTATATTCATTGACTTATAGCTGCAGTAGAATACGATGTATGTTAATTGACACACATCAGAAGCACAGTGAACTCTGTCTATAGAAACTACCAAAAGGGAAGGGAAACTATAAACAGGTGGTGTTTATAGACAGGTGGTGCTTAAAGACAGGTTGTTATCTAGAAAACACCATAAGGGTAGACTTAATATGGTAATTATAGGCAGGTGGTCATTATAGACAGGTGGTCACTAAAGGCAGGTTGTTATATAGAAAACACCACTTAGAGTACACTTAATATGGTATTCATAGGCAGGTGGTTCCTGTAGACAGGTGGTCACTAAAGGCAAGAAGTTATAACTTATACAGAAAACACAAACAAGGAAAGACTTAATATGGTAATTATAGGCAGGTATTCCTTATAGACAGATTGTCACTACAGACAGGTTGTTATATAGAAAACACCCCCTAGGGTAGACGTAATATAAATGGTAATTTCAGGCAGGTGGCCCATGGAGACATGTGGTCACTATAGGCAGGTTGTTATATAGAAAACACCACGTAGGGTAGACTTAATATATTAATTATAGGCAGGTGGTCATTATAGACAGGTGGTCACTAAAGGCAGGTTGTTATATATAAAACACCACTTAGGGTAGGCTTAATATAGTATTTATAGGCAGGGGGTCCCTGTAGACAGGGGGTCACTATAGGCAGGGTGTTATATAGAAAACACCCCCTAGGGTAGACGCAATATAAATGGTAATTTCAGGCAGGTTGCCCAAGGAGACATGTGGTCACTTTAGGCAGGTTGTTATATATAAAAAACCACTTAGGGTAGACTTAATGTAGTAATTATAGGCAGGGGGTCCCTGTAGACAGGGGGTCACTATAGGCAGGGAGTTATAAATTACACAGAAAAGACCACCAAGGAAAGACTTAATATGGTAAATAAAGGCAGGGGTTCCCTTTAGACAGATGGTCACTATAGAAAAGTTGTTTTATAGAAAACACCACTTAGAGTAGGCTTAATATAGTATTCATAGGCAGGTGGTCCCTGTAGACAGGTTGTCACTATAGGCAGGTTGTTCTATAGAAAACACCACTTAAAGTAGGCTTAATATAGTATGTATAGGCAGGTGGTCCCCGTAGACAGGTGGTCACTAAAGGCAGGTTGTTATATAAAAAACACCACTTAGGGTAGACTTAATATATTAATTATAGGCAGGTGGTCCCCGTAGACAGGTGGTCACTATAGGCAGGTTGGTATATAGAAAACAACACTTAGGGTAGACTTAATGTAGTAATTATAGGCAGGTGGTCATTATAGACAGGTGGTCACTAAAGGCAGGTTGTTATATATAAAAAACCACTTAGGGTAGGCTTAATATAGTATTCATAGGCAGGTGGTCCCTGTAGACGGGTGGTCACTATAGGCAGGGTGTTATATAGAAAACACCGCCTAGGGTAGACGTAATAGAAATGGTAATTTCAGGCAGGTGGTCCCTGTAGACAGGGGGTCACTATAGGCAGGTTGTTCTATAGAAAACACCACTTAAAGTAGGCTTAATATAGTAAGTATAGGCAGGTGGTCCCCGTAGACAGGTGGTCACTAAAGGCAGGTTGTTATATATAAAACACCACTTAGGGTAAACTTAATATAGTAATTATATGCAGGTGGTCCCTGTAGACAGGTGGTCACTATAGGCAGGAAGTTACAACTTATACAGAAAACACCACCAAGGGAAGACTTAATATGTAATATCAAAGTTTACTTTCTACACAATGTACATATTAAACATGTTGCAATATGTTTCAAGACAAACTGGTCCCTTTGTCAAGCTATGATCTTATTGAAGATATTAGACTTAACATGTTAATTATAGGTAGGTGGTCCTTGTAAACAGGTGGTTACTATAGACAGGAAGTTATACAGAAAACACCACTATGGGTAGACTTAATATGGTTATTAATTTCTGTATAGGGCTATATATCCTAGTCTAACTGTATAGGGCTATATATCCTAGTCTAACTGTATATGGCTATATATCCTAGTCTATATATCCTAGTCTAACTGTATAGGGCTATATATCCTAGCCTAACTGTATAGGGCTATATATCCTAGTCTGTATATCCTAGTCTATATATCCTAGTCTATATATCCTAGTTTATATATCCCAGTCTAACTGTAAAGGGCTATATATCCTAGCCTAACTGTATAGGGCTATATATCCTAGTCTATATATCCTAGTCTAACTGTATAGGGCTATATATCCTAGCCTAACTGTATAGGGCTATATATCCTAGTCT